GGCAGCGCTGCTGGGCCAGCCCGGCCCGGCCCGGCGCCGCGCCCTCCCGCGGAGGCAGCCGCGCTAGAGCCCCAGCCCGGAGCAGCGCCCTTACACACACGAGAAGGCGGCTGTCAGCGCCCCCCAGCTCTGCCGCCTGCACCTCCCACCCTCCGGACCGCAAAAATCTCTCTGGACACTCGGCAGCTCGCAGGCTCTACCCGGGGCCGCGCTCGGCGCCGCTGCGATCTCTGCCCAGTTCGCCCAGCTCGGGCACCCACACAGACTGCAGGTGGAAACACGAACGTTCCCAGAGCTGAGTGAAATTCCAAGAGCCGAAATATTCCTAGAGCTGAAATTCTGAAGCGATCTCAGATATTTAGAGCCTGCGCAGTTCCTACAGATACAACATAACTTCCCTTTCAGACCTGCACTCCGGATTTACTCCTCAGCATAATATTTACAAAGATTCATGAAATTCAAGTGTCTAGTGAAGTGCCTAGATCCACCTCACAGTGTCCAGGTAAATATTAAAATTAGTACTTGCTACTGGAAGGCCTGGCAGCTCTGAAGTGAGAAGGCCTCAGCTGGCACATGGTTCACTTCTGGGTATCTTATGTCAAAAAGGGCAGCCAACTGAAAGAAAAAAAAAAAAAAAAAGAAAAAAACCAAACCAAAAAACCCCAGAAACTATCAGAGTTCAGGTCCAGGGAGGAGAACCGAAATAAATTCCATTTAACCTAGAGATAAGGCAGAGGGGAAACACTCTTCAAGAAATACAAGATGTCACGGCAAAAAGGAATGAATTGTTCTGCACACACACTGGACAGCTAAAAAGAGTGGAGTGGGCTTAAACTCCATCAAGAGATACTGCTTTAGATATTAGGAATCCAAGGCTAACTTGGTACCAGCTGCAATTTCTTTGGAAGTGCACAGGGCTACAGAAACAACTGACTGAAGACAGCTGCCCGGACAGTAAACATCCTCTGTTTACTTTGACCACTTCTTGGGCTCCAGGACACAGGCTGAAATCGAAAGGCCAACTGAAATCTTCCACAGCCACACAAGAGATTGCCTGGAAAATAACAATTCTGAAACAACCGTTCAAGATATGCTCCTTCCTATGCTTCAGTACAAAACTAATAAATAGGATACAACCTTGTCGCGTACAAGTGCATAAAAAACTTCAGTTCCCCTTTAGAGTGCTTGATAAAAGTGTTTTGGTTTTTTAATTCTACAGAAGCTCAATAGCCAATGTTGTGGGCTAAAATAAAGCACAGGACATTTCACTCTAGCAAAATTGGTTATGAGCATCAGAAAAAGTGGTGAAGAATATTCGTATATTCACAAGTAGTCACTGGACTCCTGCAAACAAGAAGCTGGGAGTTCAGAATGGTTTATCTGTACAGGAACATTCGGAAGAGTTAAGGCACAGCAGTCACAGCGTACACTGAAATACACTGGCTCTTTATGCAGAACCAGTCCTAGTCAGATGCAAACTGACTTTAGATCACAGGCGGCTTTGGATCTGGACGAGAAGCTCCACTTGAGAGTAAAAATGCACTTTAAATGAATACATATTGATCCCAATTGCTTTAACTTCTCTGGATGACCTCCTGACAACAAGTCCTCCGCTTTTAATTAACTCCACTTTTCATGTGAACATGCCAGTCAAGCTCATACCATAATTTTGAGAAGGTAACTTTGCTGGCAAGAGTCAGACCTTGAAAACAAGCACAGAAACAAAAGGCTGGAGGAGAGTCCCTCCTCCATGTCTCCTTTGTTCTTGGTTTCATAACAAGCAATGCAGCTCCCTCCAACTCAAGGTTTCTGCTCCCTTGGCCTACAGTATTTCGGCAACTGTCATTCAGCTTCGATTTCAAATCACTGATTAATCTTCTCATATCTTCACTTCAGAAACCCTTCCTACAGGGCCCTCAAAGGCAAGCGGATTATAGTGATGCCATAGCCACATCTTTTATACCCGCACTTTTGTCTCGCACATCACCGGACGAATTCTTAAACCCTCACTTCAAAATAGAAAATGAAGTAAAACATTGAACAATGCCTATAAACCCCTCCCTCCCCCAGCCTCTGGGGTTTAAGAATCCAAAGGATCAAGGTACTCACGTAGCATGGCCAGCGGGGAGAGCAGCACCTAGTTAAAAAGTTACCTTATTTTTGGGGAATCCATGCGGCAGGATGTGTAGTTCTAGGTCACTCACAGCTCTATCAGCATACAGATCTAGACAAATTCTCTGCTCCACAGACAGTGCAGCAGCAGCAGCAGCTCCTGAGGGTTCAGAGAAGAAATTCAGAGGGTATTCATACAGTCACCCTGAAGGTGAACAGCCCGTACGCTGAACACCCCTAAACTGACCAAAAGGGAATTATCACCCTGGGTAAAGTGAGGGGATGGTTGGGGTTTTTTTGGTTAGTTAGTTGGTTTTTTGTTTTCATTTTGTTGTTTGATTGTTTATGGTTGTTTGTTTTTTTTTTTTTAAAAAACAAGGCACATAATCTGCAATGGAGAAAATCTCAAAACATAAACCAATTCCAAATAATTCGATCAACCACTGTGGTCCAGATGGGGAAGCATCCTTTTGTACATTTGCAGTCTTTACAAAATCTGCATAGGAGAGACTCTGGAATGAAAGGGCCAAGCTAACAGGATGTCCAAAGTTCATTGTTGTCTTAGGTGGTCTGTTAACTTGCTTGTGGAAAATGTCTATTAATGATTGAAGGGGAAAAAGGTGAGGAGAGCAATCCCTAGTTTGATTAGAGTTTAATTTAAGCAGATGCATTAAGTATTTGTGCACTTACATAGTCTAAAGGACACTCATGTGTCTCCAGCAGCCTTAAAAGGCAATACTTCGGTAGTTATAATTTAACCCTTCATGTGAGAGGCGGTAAGAGTGAGGTGGTTCAAGTGCTGTCTGACCGCATTAAGCAGGATCATTACACCTTCCCTCAGATTTGTGTGAAAGGGAATAAGATTGCTTAAGCTGCAAAGAATACAGATTTCCCCCAAAATGCCAATAAAGTACTACAAACCCCCCTGGTGTCATCACGGCTGTGCTGGCAGGGAACTTAACCTATTTTGTTTGAGGAGATGCGGATCTGGTGGCAGAACTGCCTCCCCGCACCCAGTCAGTCAGTCAGCCAGCACCCAATGCAGTGTCCCCACCCCACCGCCCTCTGAAGAGGTCCCATAGCATGGGCAAGACCTGAAGGAGGTGTTCAGGTGTTCGGAACCACCAATCTAACCACCGTCTGACAAACTGTTCAGCCGCATACTTCCAAATGCCGATCTGTAAATTAGTTTTTTTAATTTAGTCTCTCTATATACATGCGAAATAAACGTCACGTGCAAACCTTCTGCCAGGTTGGACGGGGCTTTGATCAACCTGGGCTAGTGAAAGGTGTCCCTAGCCATGGCCATCCAGTTGGAACTAGATGGTCTTTAAGGTCCCTTCCAGCCCAAACCATTCTATGATTCTGCAAGACTTGTAACAAAACAAATACAGCAGTCATTTACGTTGAAAAATTATAAACTATAATCTCTTTTTTTACTTCTACATGACTGAAAGGGTTTTTTTTTTTTGTTCTTACACTACCCATATAGTTAATGAGAACATGGAAGGATTACAGGAAAAAAATATCTAAGAAAAGTAATTTCATCTTGCTTCCCACTTAAATACTCTCGCTATGCAACACAACCAACTAATCTTAGTTATAAGGATGTTTTTTGAAGATTTTAGCAGTAAACTTGCTTAGTGGAAATTTGTTATAACAAACAAGGGAACTAAGACAATTTTTACATAATGTAACCTGAATCAGCTGCATGTATTTGCATTCTCTAAACTGATAAAGGAACTACTTGGGTTTGTTAAATAATGATGCTTCATGTATTAGAACATTAAGGAAAAATTGCAATATTTTGAGGTTATTTAAAAAATCACATATACTTCAATTAAACTACAATAGTGCACATGAAATGACAAATAAATGCTGGCAGCATGAAGCGCATCTGCCAAGAGTGTGAAACGGAAATAAAATTAGTGCTGCACCTCCAAGCAAAGAAATTTATCAGCTCCATTTCTCTAGAGCATCCACTTTCAGGGAATATAAAGTAGTACATTTTTATTACGGCATAGGTCTCTCATGACCTCGAAGTTTGCCATAAATTCACCAAGATCAATGCCAGTACAGACCAAAAGTGCTCTTTTTACCAAGATACAAATTTTCTGTTGTTCAACCCCATCTCCCCATGTAGCATTGATCTTGTTAAGTGTCCCTTGAGTAAAGCTAAAACCTAGTTAAGTTGGTGCATGTTATACTAGGATAGCTCAGAATGCACTCGTCGTTTTAGGGAAAGGATTCAATTTTCTTTACAGATTGGAAGAAGATTCCTTAGAGAAGGCAGCCATCTCATAGAGGACTGAATCTTGTATATACAAGTATGTATGGTTACATTAGGGAACCAGATGTCAGTGAAAATACCTGCATATTAAAAAGAACACAATATATAATCAAATTACTTTTGCAGAAGATAATAAAACACCTTTCCCCTTTTCTAGATGTCACACCTCTTTCTGAGCTACTGTATATAGGGCACAAAGTGCTTGCTTAACTAGAGGGAGGCAGACTGGTTTATGCACCCTCTGCTTTTTTGTTCTTAATCAGGAATATCAGATCTCTTTTCTAAGTTTTATTTTGTATTAACTTCGTGCCCTAAAAGGCTAGCATAACAATCTTTAATAAAGAATACGATGCAAATTGGTTAAGCACATTTTTACTTTCAGCAGTGGGCGGACAGAAAATAGGGAGCTGGATCCTTAGTAATGCCAAAAAGCAGCGTGAACTACAATACCCCAAAGCAAGTACCAGAATGTCCCCTCTAGTCTCATGCTACCAACTCCTGGGTGATGGCTGCAGTAATCAGAGCTGTGGCAGAGGGCATGATGAGGTGGCAAAATGCATAAAGAATGTCCTTTAAGAAAATAATGACTCATTTGTTACACAGAACCATCTCCAGCTTCTGCCTGTTGAGCACATGACACGGAGCAGGCTGTTACCAACCACATCACACGCCTGCTGATTTTCCAGCGGGACTTGGATCGTTCAACACTGTGTCAGTCAGATGCTCTAGAAATCCTCAGTTCCCCTCTGGTGGATAGCATTTAGTCTTTGTAAAAACTATGTAAAACAGCCTCTGCAAACACGGGCCAAGTAGATGACTTCAGCTCCAGAGCAAGAAGGTGACAATCTCAGCATATCGAAGGCAAGTGGTTTTGTTGAGGTAGTCACCAGGTAGAGCACGAACACTGGAGACGGCTCCTCAGAAGCGGTGTTTGCTTATTCCCCGCTGACAGTCATCTACTTCTTGTCAGTAGAGAATACCAAAGTTTAATGGCACACATTTATCAGGGCAGGAAGGAGCATAATGCATTCCTGTGAGACTCCGCAGAGTACGGGCGTACACTTTTCATCCTGCCTGAGTATTAAGTCCATTCAATAGAGTTGTGTTAGCTTCTCCCTCACTTACTTAACTACATTAAAATACCGAGGAAGGCATTTATTTTCTGTCAATGAAATGAAGAGGCTAATAGCAGCAGTATGAAACAGCAAGAGACCTAAATTCATCTCAGTGCAATCTCATTTCAATGCAAATATTGTCAATTTTTCCCTGTATAATGCAGTTCTGCCAGTTATTTCCAGTATTGCCTTTAGCCTAGGCTTGGGTTTTTGCAGGCTGAGACTGCGATTCCAAATTACACCACCTCTTTGTAGTTTTGCTTATGCATTGATCTGTTGGCGATACAGCACATGCTAAAGCAATTCACAAGTTATCTCCAAACATCTGTAAAGTGTCCCCCAAAGCCTACATATTTTAATTTCATACTGCCAAGATGAACTCGGTGGAGGAACAGAAAGAAAGGAAGATTCCATAATGGAAGAGGTTTATTTTAAGCCTATGTTAAGCTGCCACCAGGGCTTGTCTAAATATAGATGTGTCCACTGTAAACACCCTTAGCCTGCGTTTAGTGCAGACTCAGGCAGTTACTCAGCAATGGCAAGCAGGCGTTACATTCATGCCCAGGCCCGCAATAACTCTGTCATCACCAGTACCCAAAGAAACAGTTTGTGAGTGAGATTCTGCGTTCGAAAAGAAACATTAACCAAGAAAATCTTACCTCCTCCTGCTGGCATCACGCCTTCGTCATCTAAGCTCTCAAGATGAGAAGCAAGCTCACCAAGGGCCTGTTGCTTTCAGGCCCAGCTCCTCAGCTCACTGTGATTTGCAGAGGACAGGCAAGCAGGGGCTGCACAGACATGTTTCCTTGAGCTTCTGCAGCAGCTCACATGTGACAAGGCAGGAAACAGCCTGCGCTGGGCAGGTGTGGGTCGCTGTAGTGCCGCTCAGAAATCCTGGCACCTGTACCTTGCTTTCCTGCTAACTCCTGCGCTCCGCTTGTTAATGCTTGCTCTGCCTTCGAACCATCAATACTTGTAGTCTGCAGCATAAATACTGTGCTATATTGAAACCATCACTGCATCTGCAAAGAGTTTGGACAATTTACCAGCAGTAAATTAGCTTAAAACGTACTTGTTCTGACAACTACAATGTAAACATATCCGGTGTGTTCTGCCACTGCAGTGTGATACTCCCTCCAAGTTTATGTGAATCATCCTCCCAATGACTGTGGAAGAATCGGAAACCACTGTCTGTCTACTAACCATCTGAGCTTCCTTACCAAAAAAGTACAAATACAGAAAAGCGTGCCTTCACTGAAACAACTCGGAGACTCCTCTGTAACTTCCTTGTAAACCAGACATAAATGTGTAACTGTACCTGTGTTAAACGTTGTTTGGATTTTGGGCTTTGCTACTCAAAGACTATATGGCAAAGATTGCCAATGAAAGGATCAGGACACTGTATTTAGTAAGGTAGCAGCTCAAGATCTGCCAGTGCTGTGCTCTTGTGCTGACACGGAGTCCAAGTTGTGCAGGGTCGGTGTTTGATATAGTTCCAAACCTCAGTGTAATAGATGAACCTAGAGGGGCTTTCATCTCTGAGGCACATCACCTAACAACTAAATTATGTCACAATATCTACCTCTGAAACCTTTGCAATCTGCTTTGAAGTGTCCAGTAATCATTACAACAAGTAGTGGAACAAGTAGAAAAATTAGAAAATCGAATGGTCAGTAGAACATATGCATATGAGGACAGGCTGAGAGAGTTGGGGGGGGGTTCAGCCTGGAGAAGGCTCCTGGGAGACCTTAGAGCGGCCTTCCAGTACTTAAAGGGGCTACAGGAAAGGGGGGGAGGGACTAGTCATCAGGGGGTGTGGGGATAGGACGAGGGGCAAGGTTTAAACTGAAAGAGATCCAGATTAGACAGAAGGAAGAAATTCTTCCCTGTGAGGGGGGTGAGGCCCTGGCACAGGTTGCCCAGAGAAGCTGTGGCTGCCCCCTCCCTGGCAGGGCTCAAAGCCAGGTTGGACGGGGCTTTGGGCAACCTGGGCTGGTGGAAGGTGGCCCTGCCCATGGCAGGGGGTTGGACTAGATGATCTCCAAGCTTTTTTCCAACCCAAACCATTCTATGGTTGTACATTACATACTCCTTCCTGCCCTGAAAACAGGCCAAGGAAGGTGGTTTCTTCTCTGCCCTGCAGATGACTCTTCCAATGCAACGTATCCACACAGCAAGTCCTGTCCAAAGCCCTACAGTACTCCTCTCATTTTGTAAGCATCAGGGTTTTATTTCTTTTCCATTGCCATTGTCCGTGGCCTCTTCCCATGTGAGGAGGACTCCGCACCTGTCACAAATAACCATCCTTACACACCATGGCCAGGCTGAGGTGCCTTGGCAGTACCTGCTGCCCGCTACAAATCAGGCATCAGGTGCTTACTGCAGCAGCAGCTCGAATCATGTGGGAGTGACATCAGATGATCGTCTCTCTGTAACTGCTGTCAATTTTTAGGAACACGTGTTCACTTTTGGCAGGAAGTTTCTTTATAGCACTTGAGTTTTGGGCAGTTGGTGTTATCCTTATTTCACAAGGAATGCTCGGAAGACTTACTGGTATGACAGGCCAAAAAATTACATAGGAATGAGGCACAAGAGAACACCCCCTTCTAAAGATATATAGGGCAGAATGCATCTATTGTGAGTCAGTTTCCTTTAAGCTACAGGATTCCTGGGCACAGAAACAGTGGGTGAAACAGCCTGTGCATCATGCATACGAGCAAAGCATCAAACGGCAAATTTTCTACCAGTGTGTTTCAGACTAGGCAATCCCACTGTGGCAGTGAGATCTGGAGAGAGAGGCTAAACCACCAGCTCAGTGACCTCAATCTTAGAAAACCCGATGCTATTACATACATAAATAGAGCTCCAAGTGATTGATTTAGATGGCATTCAGACAATGTCACTGGAGAACACTGAAGTACACTCTAGCAGGCATAAACGGGTCTACCTTGGAAATCTTGCAGCATGTTCACGTCCAGACTAAATTAATTTGGAGAGTTTCTGGGTAGAGATTGCCTTGATCCTCTTGCCCCTTACAAAAGCTATTAAAACCTGAAAGGATTTTGCCTGAACGGTTCGAAATTGGATCACATCTCACATCTCAGGTACAGAGTGAAGTCCCTACTTTGAATTCAAAAGGCTTTGGAGAAGATTTTTTTATTTCTCCCCAAAGCAAAGTCATGTATTAAACACAAAGAACAACCACTTTCAGCAGGAATCTAGAATGCTTCCTGAAAGAAGGAAGCAGTCCTACCTTGAACTGTGGGACTGCCCAAGTCAGACCCATGACTACAACATGAGACTGAGAGCCAAGCCAAGGTCCTGCAGTGGGTGCAATTTAGGTAGGGGTGGGTTGGGCTTGGAGCGAGCTCTTCAGATTCTTCTCTCCCGTTAGTGATGAGTCTTGCCTCAGAGAACGGTTATTTCTCCATTGATTCATGTGGCTTTTAGGTAATGAGAAGTCCCTCAGAAGAGAAATAATATCTGCAAGGATATTAAAAGGATTTGAGAGTCGGACAAAGAAAAAAAGTGTCCATTTGACAAAGTAAAAAAAGCTATCCTTATTTGGCTATACTTATTTTTGTATTTTGGAAATAGTTGAGACATTGGAGAAAGTTTTGTTTTAAATATCTCTATCCAGGCTTGGAATTTCCTTTTAACACACAAAGCATCCCTATACAGCTAATAGGTGCATAAACTGACACATGAACTTCCTCTTCCACTTTCCCTCCCATTCCTGTTCCCCCCCATCTCAAACAGTCATTAGAACAAGTCTCTATAATTTGCCTAAGAGGCCAACTGGCACAAACTTTGTATAAAACTAGACAGCATCTTAAATTCAGGACCAGGGTCTTCATAGAAAGTCCCATTGCTCCAAGTTGCAGGGTATTTTTTTTTTTTTTATATTATTTTATATATCCACCATGAAGGAGAATATTCTTAGATCAGATTTACCCTAGTTAAGAGTTGAAGTAAAACAGGTAGAAAGAGATTAATTTTAAATGTGAACAGGTCAACAGTGAATCAAAGCTGCACTCGCAGAAAATAATTTTGCTTAAAGGGAAGTTTTCTGTTTTAGGCTGACAAACCACCTTAAGTTTGTCCAGTCCAGAAATGGAAAACATCCTTAATGGCTTCCTTTAACCTATCTTTGAAGTCCTGCAGTAATTATGTAAGTGCTCTGGAAACAGAAGAGGGCAGCCAGGAACCCTGCCTCTGAGCAGAGTACTTGGGAGGGGAAAACAAACAAAAAAGCCTCTGCTCTTTTCTGAGACTTCCCCCCACCTCAGCCTTAGGCCAATTTGGATGGGAAAACTGTAGCAAGTGTCAGGCTTTTATTGTCTGCTTTATTTTTTGGGATTTGTTGCAGAGGCAGAAAGTGGAGCCTCAGCATCATGTGAGCAACTTTAATATTAGGGCATAAATGCTGAGAGAACAGTGCCCTGGCTCCTTTTGCCCCTGTGGGAATAACGGCTGTGCCTTTCATCCAGCTCCGAGATCTGAGGCTTGGAGGAAGTGTTCACTTTAGAAACCACTCTAAAACTTATAGGAAGGTGTAGAAGACGTCAAAGCTAATTTCAAAGCCCACTCATCCATTTAGAATTTGCAACAAAACTCAGTTTCTGCTTGTCTAAGTCCAAAATAACCTCACTTTAGTTATTTCATCAGCGTGAGCAAGAACAGCTTGACCCACAATATCTAGGTAAGTGCCAAATTCAGCCCTCAACAAATCCAAGTATTTTGGGGAACTGATCATTGATGTTTGCTCAATTACATGTTAAAAGATTTCTTGCATTAATCCATTTTAAGTAAGATCAGGTGGCAACTCATAAATGGAAGTGGCAGTGCTGTATAAAAAAAAAAGAAAACCATTTGAAAGATAGGAAATAACTGAAAAGCATGTGAGAATATGGAAGTTGTCTATGGTAGCAGGACAGCTAAGCCTGGCAGGTTCATTATCATCTGTAAATTGTAGGACATTCGTATCAATAAGGAAAAAATCTCTAAAATATAGTTCTGCAGTGGTAAAGGAAAGCTGCCCCAGCTATTCTAGAGGATTGCTAAAATGCAGTACGGTCCAAAGAGCAAGATTTGCAAGAGAAGCAAGTAGTGGGCAAATAAAACTGATGGCATGTTAACAAAGCAAACCAAACCAAAATAAAAAAATCCCAAAACCACCCAAACCGAACAATGATGGTAAGAGGTTTAAATATCTTTTCATTATACCGCACACACACACAAAAATACTGGGCTACAATTTTGGCTGCTCGTGCCAGTATAAACTTTTCAGAATGTGAATTTTGTAGCCTGAAAGACACTCAGTCACAATCAGTTCTAACAGCGTATAGTTTATTCAGCATTTAATGGCTTGACCTAGTAAATCTTTAGCAAATCTTGAGCAAATTTTGTTACTATCAGGAGGCATCCTGACTGATCAATTAAACATTAGGACTCATTAGGAAAGAAAGTAGCTTACTTTTAGTTTTCTTCAAAGAGGTAAGCCAGGAAAGTGGAGATACTTTCTTACGTTTTACAGAAACCTGAAACTGAGCAAAGGGTTCAGGATCAGAATATTTTGAATACTTCAAAAGAATAGAGTTCTGTAAAGACTGAGTAAAGTGGAAGTACTTAGAAAATCAAGCTATATAACTAGTAAGAGTACTGAAATCCTGGTCCCCTTCCTGTTAAAAAGCAAGCTGGATTTCCTCTTCACTCAGTTATGAGGCAACACAAAGGCAAGATTCTGTTCGCTTTATGCACTCTTAGCCCTTGTTATTCCCCTGGCACATCCAAACTGTTTTCATGTATTGCTCATAATGCCTTGTTTCATTATTCAAATCAACATTCTGTAAAATGGAGGGTAGTTAAGTTAAGCTGTTAAACACCAGAACAGAATCAAAGTCTTTCTTTCCTTGCCTGACAGTCCTGCCCTGGAAACAGTGGTCCACACTGAATGTTAAAAGTTCAAAGTGTAAAAACCCTTCAGGGGTTCTTGCTCTCTGTAGACATGGGAGATGGCGTTCACAGAACCCGATTATTTTCTTCATGTTTTTCTTTCCGTTTTCCTTCTGTACGTCTCTCCCCTCGGACCCTTTGCACACAAAGATAGGAACAAGCCTGAACCAGTTTAACTCTGAAACGAGAGCTTATCATGAGCAGATTCCACGCTGGTCTCCAGCTTGCACGCTGGCAGTGCTAAAACCGTGCTAGATTATTCAGTCCAAAATGGTTTTGCCTTTCTCTTGCAGATCACGCTGATGAATAGAGCTAAGATAGGAGGTAAAACTGGCAGGACATTAATATTTCTAACCACATTTGCCCATGCACGAAGATTTCCCTAGCAACATCTCTCTCTAGAAAAAAAAAAAAAAAAAAAAAAGCTTCAGACAAGCTTATCAGGGTTATTGGTATCAAGAGACAACGTTTCCCCCAGAATCTATGTAAGAATTGGGTTGAAATTATAGTTAACATGAATTTTAATGCAAAAGGCCATAATTTTAGTGATGTGGTTTTCTAAAATATACCGTAAAATAAAAGTTAAAGCTTTATCGTGCAATCTTGACTCACACAAATTGTTCTGGCAATACATCATCCCTTAAATCAGGGAGACTGCTGGAAAAGGGCACAGCATTCCCAGAGCATCTCTGGGAAGTTCCTGGGGTGTTTCAGCTAAAAAGATAGATTCCCCTCTTAATTCAGTTATTAATTTCACTTACACAGAGTTAATGTTTCCACTTAATAGCAGGAGATGCTTTAGTCTGCACAGAAGCTTTTTAAAGAAACACGATGACTGTTCACAATATGAAACAGTTAACTTGAAAACATTTCATTATCTTCAGGAACTAACAACACAAAAATCGTCCTTAATTAAACACTCAAGACAGCAGCCAGACTAATCCTAGAGTTCCTTAATAGCATGAGGAATGCAGTAAGTTTCAGCAGGTTTAATTCCTTAGTATGTTGTCATGGCTAACACTTGTTTTGTAAAGAAAACCCAGGAAAATAAACGTAAATAAAACTTACGACATGGTTCACTAAATCTGCTGCAAAACCCCTGTGCAGGAGAAGTGAATAGATGATTTCAAAATTATACAGAACTACGTCCTGACAAGCAACAGCAACACAAGAGCGTAAGTTTAAAAGCCTTAATCACTTTAACCACCCATCCACAGAAACGCACTTCTAGCTACAATTTCTGTGAAAATCAAGATTTTGCCAATACGTAACACTACAGCTGTGGACTTGATCATATTTAGGGACTTTCATTTCTCTACTTCCAAGGTTGTGCTATAATTTTTACCTACTTTGGGGCCTAGATAATTGACAGATTACCTCAAGAGGTAGATCTAGATCTACAAGACATGCAACAGCAGAAGAGTAACCCCAGAATTCACTGTCAATCTTTTTATTTCCCCCCCCCCCCCTTTCTATTTCAGGTAAAGGGTGTTTCATTGCCAAGGGTCATATGCGACCTTTAACATCTCAGGAACATCCTGGCTCCTGCACTGCCGCTTTCAGGACCTTTCAGTCCTTCAGGGTAACCGACCATCTCAGCAATTCCCACAGGGCTCCTTCCCTCCCTTTCCCTGCGGGTAAGTACTTCTACACTTTTCTGCCAGGCATGGCCCTCTACTTTCCCGTCTGCTCTCAGCTTTCCAGAAAGTAAGTCTCTCCGAAGTTCATCCAGCTCTTCGTTCTCTCATCTAACTGGAGTTTGCTCTGATACTTTCTGGTGCCAGCACTGCTGTGTAAGTGCAACAGACTCTATTACTGTTCTGCAGCTTAGGGCTCTTCACAGACAGTAGAGCTGGCTTTGTAGTCCTAGCTAGAGAGAGAGGAAAAGGGCTAGACAAAAGATATCTGAATACCTGTCCTATTTTCCCTCTGCCCCTTCATCAGTCTCAAATACCACTCTTCCCTTTCAACCAGGTCCATCTATTCTCCCGCTTACCCTGGTAGCACATCATCTCAACATTCTTCTGCAGTTATCAGTGTCACACATCTGTACTAGACACACTTTCAGGTACAGGATTGAGTCCAGTGCCATTTTGAAATCACCAGGTGCTTTCTTTGACCATCATGGCATTTTGGTTTGTTCTTAGAATTTCGGATCATCAGGCAAGACTGTGCTGTGGCAGAGAGATGCAGAACACAGCCCATGGAAAAGGGCTGCTGAGCTGGCCTCTTACCTGCAAATTCCTGCTGTTTCAGGTTCTGCAGACATAAAGCTGCCAATAGCCAGGGGGGTGGCAGGCTACAACCCTTAGAGTACCCAACCCAGTGGGCCAACAGCACGCTTGTTCAGAGGTGAAAGCTGCAACGTGACCTCAGCCCGTGCTTCCTGCACAGTCCAGCTTCCACCTTATTCTGCACAGAGGTACAAGGGTGAAGGAAGGCTCTCTTACATGGCTCTCCCAGCCACCTCCACAGCTCCGGATCCACCCCACGGGGCATGAGACACCTGAAGGTTCAGAAGGTTCTGAGAACATCGGTCTACCCTGGGGTAACTAAGCATGGTGCAACTATCCCAGTGCAGAATGGGGAATAACAATACCTAGACAGCAGTCACTACAAGAAGAAAAAAAAAAAAAAAAAAAGTAGTAACCATCCAACCCTTTTCATATCACAAAGACTGCAAAAACTCCTATACAAGTGGTTCAGACCAATTTGCCTTATTTGGTGATGCAGATTAGCAAATCTGTATATTCCAAAGAAAGTCAGGTACCAATCTCAGCTGAACTGCAAAGTTACTTCGTATTACCAACCTTCCTTCTTTCCCTCACTAGAAAATAAGCAAAAGTAGATAGCACGTGTTGAAGAGCCACAGAAAAATCAGGATGATTTTTAGGAAGCATGAAAAAAGATAGGTCATGGCAGATCTTAAATTCCCATCTCCAGACAGAAAGATAAAGCACTCATTATTGACTACTACTCCACTTACTTATCACTGCTGACAGCCAGGACAGTGTTACGATTCACTATGGAGTTAGAACAATCTGTTTCACTCAGCAGTAACTGTCAAAATGCACTCAGACCCAGAATGGCAGAGCCCAGTTTGCAACGCTGCTTTTCCACACTGGATCGAAGGGGCCCTCGGTTACAGGAGAAAAGCCAGAGTGTGACTATAGGGCCTGAGTAAGAAAGGAGCGAGGAGTGGTGTACTTCTGAAGTTCAGCCCCAAAAATACATTCCACACTGTGACATGTAATGTTTTATAGAGGGGATCTCAAGCTATGAAAATGCTCTCTACCATGCCGTGATCCCTGGACACAGCTGACTACACCCAGATGTTCTACGAGGTTCCTGTAATTTCTCCAACTCATCCCCAGTAGGACAAAGGAAGGCATTCATGCTGTGAAGTTTAAATCGGTCCCACTAGACATCAGTATTTCCCTCCTTGTTAGGAAGGATGGAGATGGTCGCACAACAGATACTTGAGACTCCCAAGATCAGTCCTGGTTTCATTAAATTCACATGCCAGATTTTGTTCAACCCTCAGAGAAAAAAAATATGGGACATACTGTACAGCATTTTCACTAATACAAAGAATTTGGAACTAATCTTGTTCCACCCTGCAAACACAAGCCATATCTAGCTTCCACTTTTTATTTTTCACTGTAAATACTCCAACTCTTGCTCCATAACACCAAAAGATAAAAGGTTCCTTGCAGCAGGCATCACCACCAGCTCACTGGTTAGCAGGTAGAGGCTCTTCCCCGTGCAGGAGAAAAGCCATAGCTGATTTTCATGAAGAGCCTCAAAAGTTTTCATCTACGTCTCCCCAAACCTTGCATTTAGTGTTTTCTGCATTCAAGTGAACTAATGGTCTTTATACATACCTTCAGTCTCTAGCTGGGAAATGCAGGACTGACTTCAACCTCTTCTTGCTTCTGAGCTGAAAGACACACCATATACCTTGAAAGGCATGGTATGGCCTGGAAAGCATGTGAAACCCACTGACATCCAAGCCAGCATCTTTACATACAGGAAGGATTAGACTTATTAAAGTTGCTTGCTTTGCAATGCATTCTCCTCTCAGCGGTTTACTAGAATTTCTGAGTTAACTCCTGCAACGCTGGGAACTTGCTTTCCTTTGTAAAGGGGTCCAAGGCACCAGAAGAAATACAAAAGAACCATCTAAGGGGTAGATCACCTGGACAAATCAACTTGAAATTAAACCAGTCACATGTATCATCTCTCCCTTTTCATCCTGTCTTCTGAAAATACTTAAGCAGCTCATTTCTGATCAGACAAAAGGTTGGAGAGAACGCAAACGACGTGTGTGAAGACAGAGAGCATCAACACAGCTCACTCATCCAGTTCGCAGACCCACCGGCTGTGTCAGTGTCAGGCACAGGGAGAGAGGCAGAACCACCAACTGCTCAGCATTTGCAGCGGTGGAGACAGGAGGATAAAGGCATTCAAAGAAATACTGCATGTGTTCCAGGAACAGAGAATAACACCATGGATCAGCTAGATTAGCATTCACTGAAGCACTTTCACAGCCTGGTGCCCAGACACTTGCAGCCATCATAATACAGGGATTTTAGTGGTCAGGATGGGACAGCATGCTTTGTACTGCATGCAGAGCCCTGTGCTGACTGGAGCAGGGGGTGTGGACACAGAGATATGCCTGAGTGGCAGCTGAACAACAAGACCGACCAATGAGTGTAGCAAGAGTCAGGCACTGAACACAGGACAAGCATATGAAAGTGCTACTGACACTTTAAGATCTTAGCCCAGAAACTTGATGATACATCCAGACACAACAAACAATTCTTACAGAAGCTATTGAGTATGCCACATAGGTGAGGTCTGTGCTAAACTGATGAATGCACACAATAAAAAGGTGACAAAACCAGAGATTTCACAAGGGATGACACAATAAAGTACGCACAGAATTTTCACAAATGCATACGACTGTCTCTAGGCATCTAAAGTTTACAATTCAACTGTAAATATCAAGTTTACAACCCAATTACAGCACTGCCCTTACAGCACACTATGCCTGCTTTTCTCCCCTGTTTCTATGCAAAAGTAGTTAATGTGTCTCAGTATCAAGAAACACTCGCTACAATTAACAAAGATATCCATAAATTCAAATTGGTTAAAGCTTTAGATTGATTATTAAATATAATAATTGATTAACGTTTTAATAAGATGACAAAACAGTAGAAATCATGGTGGATTCTCAAAACAAATCTCCATTAGAAAATACTTGAATCCATCAGCAGTAGAACTACTTGACTGTAATCAGGTTTGATTACAAGAAAATCAAGAAAAGCTGATGAAGACCACCAGATACCATAACCCTTACTACTACAAAGAAACGGCAAAAGCACTCTTTTCTGAACCACAAAATATGCTCCTTAACACAGGCAAGAACATTTTTTTACCCTTCTCTTCCTCTAATGCTTAATATCAGATCAGGAAAGTATCTGTACTGCTGTATACTGCTTTTGACTTAAAGCACATTCAGAGAAGTTTTCCTATAACTTTGTACAAAGACATATCTCTGTCCCTGTGAGCTTAGAAAAACTGGGATGAAACTTTGTTCTTTTCCTACATCCCCAATCATCAGAAAGTACCCTCAAAATAAACAGGCCTACTAAGACACTGCAGTTCTTGATGTGGCTAAAAACCCCTGAATTCTCGCTGGAAGGGCAGCTGTAAAAGGTTAAACACACATGTTGAATTCAGGGAGAGAAAGACACTCAAATTTTCCCACAATAATAGCTCAAGAAATACAGCTACCTTCTTCCAAGACAGAAGCAAAACTGATGGAGTCAAGCATGCATGAGTGTACTTTGAATATTCACCCAATCCAGAACCAGGATCATCTCCTATGCAAACTTTATTATGCAAATAGGATAATCCCCAGATTTTCCACCCATCCATTTAAATGAAAATATCAGAAATGGCCCAGCTAGCATCAGACAGCAAAAATAAAGACAAGCACATATCTTTCTCTGCTCCTAGCTCTCATTTTCTTCCTCTTTTTCCCAGTGATGACAGGCTGACAGATAGAAGGAAATACACATCCACCCCATAGTCTTCCATACAAGTAAATACAAAAAAAAATCAAGTGTTTATTGTAAGTCTGCATGAAGGCACAGATGAGCTTGATTACAGACACATCGTAACAATTACAAATATATGTAAACACCTTGAGAGATACAACAAAGCAATAATACAGCTAATACAGGAATAAAATGTAACCTGCTAAAAAACCAATTCTTTGTATCTGAGGTTCTTTCAAGGATAAGCTCCGATTCACACCAATGCAGTGTAATGCTTTTAGTCATCACTTGGATTCATGCTCAACAAATCTGCACTTGACCATTGTTGTTAACCAGTGGATTTATAAATTTGATCCGCATCTGACCAGGCTTC